GTTAGTAATTAGACGGTTTTTATACAGAGCGGTTAGTATTGGAAATGGTTAGGTCGGGATAGACCCTTATTATCACCAATCCATATACAAATTTAGACTCATAAGTTTATGACCTAACGGTTGTTTGCTGAATTTTGTTCGATCTACATGATTAATGAAAAAGTATTGGATTAAGTGCACTGATAAGGAAGGGGATTATGTTGACAATAAATATCGTTTGTGTGTGTATGTTTTAATCGTTTGACCCACCCCAAGTAAGTCAATAAAACCACTAAAACACAAGAAGGTTACTCAGTACAAAAGAATATGAGAAAAAGCAAAACATTATGAAGGAACGAGAACAGGAATTAAGAAGACAGAAGATAACGATTGACGTTGGATTTACATTTTTGAAGATCAAAGTTTACTGGAAAGCAGAAAAAGAGTTCCACAAGCAAAAAGTTAGTGAGAAGAAACTGTTAATATAGGACTTGCGACTACATCTAGCCATTTCATCTGTAAAAGGATACCTTGCTGCTAATCTAGTACTGCGCTTAAATTAGTAAAGTCTAGATACCAAAGAGGAAAGCTCATCAGAATAATTACCATGGAAATATTTATTAAAATGGTACAGGGAAGGTACGGCGGTAGGAAAGTAACTGAAGCCAATATTCCACGTCAGAACCGATAACATTTTAATTTTTTCTTTGACCTTTATCAAGGATCTCTAAATACATGTCAGAAGCAACAGACCAAATGTGACAGCAATATTCAATGCATAGACGAATGGTAGATTTATAAAATTAAAAGCAATAATAGTAATTTAAAAATGTAAAATAAATTTTATTGTTTTGCAGGATTTTTGGTTGGTTTTGTATTAGAATTTTTATGTGTTTTTACTATTCTTTTATTTTATTTTTATCATTTATTTAACTACATAGTTATACCTACGTAAATTACAGCGGTCGGGGAAATTAAAAAAAATATTTCTGTATTTAATCTTCATCAAATTTTAAAGCCAGTATTTGTATGCAATGTTTTCAGCTTTTCTAATTACAGCCCACTGTCTTCACTGCTACTCCACACTCGTCTGCTTATTTTTAATCATTTTTAGAACCAATAAACAAAATATTTCAGGCGGTAAGAAAAATTGATAATTAAGTACTCACTTTCTAAGTTGTGCTTTAAAAATCAGGAAGGAATTGTCAGTGGGCAAAAATAAGGAAACTATTATTTTTTAATAGAATTATTATATTATAATGAAAAGGCATTGATAAAAATGTTTCATAGAAAAGCCATTGCCAATAATTTTATTATATTGTTATGGCAAATTACCCATACACGAATGGACTCTTCCAAGTTACAAATAAAAGCAGGTACTACTTTTGTCAGAAGTAGAGTTTTTTTTCCCAACAGTCAACTCTGGCTTAACATTCTTGCTCGTTTGTATATTATTGTATTACTGTTTTTCTGTTAATATATTTGTTAACTCATTTCTTCTCTTTGTGTCTTTATTTCTGGCCCCAACAAAGCCACAAAATATATAAATACATTGAAAATCAGAAAGAAAGAGATCGCAAGTGGTCAATGTTGCTAACAGAATAGAGTTATTATATGTATATTTTTTTTCAAAAGGAAGGTACCCTAATCAAATTTTAAAAAGAAAATATTGGCTCAAAATTTTCAACTGATTTACAAAAATGTTTATTTTTATCGTTCAATAATTTTCTAAATGAAGTAAATTGAAGTGGAACTCTACAATCCATTCTCGTATTCCATTGTTATAATGATACGTTAGAATCATCACATGGTACTTCTCGCTTTCTTCTTTTCATTCACAAATGTTTAGGCATTTAGCAAACGCGTCAGGATCACACTGAAACCAACAAGATCACGAAAATTAAGCAGCTATGATCTTGATCAATGTCATAGATAGGTGACTTCTAAGGTTGGGCAGAAATTGTAAGAAATCAGAAGATTGTATACCAAACCCAGCAAAGCTTAGTAAATAACTAAGAATATTTGACGCTGAGTAAAAAAAATAAGGGGTGCCGAGTAACGATCGAAATTATAATTTGAACAATAGTGTGGGTTACGTGTAAATTACATCTTGCCCTACGACCATGTTTATAATTTTTTTATTATTAATCTCTTGGTATTTTTACTGGATGAGTTAATGTACTTTGCACTTAAAGGCAAAACATAGCTCATGTTACGAGCTTTATGTAGAGTGCTTGATAGTTTTCCTGCGATGTTGGCATTGCACAAAAAATTGCAAAAAAAATGTGAAACTACTTAAAATAAAACTTGAATAAATTCCTCATTTTTTTATCCGATAGTTTTCAAACATGTCGCAAAAAAATGCCATCGTGCAAGAAATAAGATAGTGGTTTTAGTCCTGCTCGCTTCCCCGCGTATAACGAAAATCCAAGAAAAACTATCAAAAAGACGGTTTTTCGGCCATAACTCCCTGGTTTTTCATCCGATGCTTTCCAACTTTGCCAAATAAATTACATATGACACACAAATTGTCTTGCGTGAATGTTTGGATTATATTATTTCAGTTAAGTGGACGAAACCTGCAACAAACAAGGTCCAAAATCGACTTGTGCCATTTAGCCAATACTTTCTTCATCCTAAATTGACATTCGAACAACCTTTGATGCAAAGATTGTTTGAGAAGGATTATTGAAGCTTTAAAAGGGAAAAATTAACCCCATCTTTATAGTAAACGTGCGAAGATGGAGGGGGGCGTCCACGCATTTGCAGTTGAATTCGTCCTTGTTTTTGTTTCATTATTAGATTTGTGAACAATGCCATACTATTTGAAAGTTATTACGGCCATAGAAAATCTACTGAATATCTAAAATATTGAAACAATTTAACCCCGAGCAATGACCACACAAGAAGTTTTTATCGATGGAATTTCTTTATTAAGAACACTTGCGAAGGATATACCGTAAAAAAAATGAGGGGGAGTAGTTTAGTATACCAACAGATGCAGCGTGAACGCAAGCAGACATTTCTAGACAGGGCGGTGCGGGGTGCAGTTATGCAATTGATTAACCGCACCCCCATCGCAAGGTCGATTTTTGTTTAGATTTCGATACGCATCGAGCAAATATGAATTTACGAGAGAAAATCATGGAGAATTGTAGTTTAAAAACAGTAAAATCGACCTTGCTAACAGAAACGCTCCTTTGTGGCTAAATCGGTAAAGCACGTCAGGCTATATGACGGTTCTTTATAGAATACAAGTTCGATTCATGTCGGAGGACGCATATTTTCTATGAAAATTTATCGGGCATTCAGGCTGGTAAATGTCGTTAATACTGTTTAAGAACGTATAAACAAAAAAATGTCTTAAAATAACTGTCGGACTTTGTCCATTTCATAATGTGTGACATATATATATATATATATATATATATATATATATGTACTTCTAAAGACTTATGAATTTATTCTTAATCATTTTTATTACTCCTCCTTAATTTCCTAACGGATCAAATTGTTCCTAGGGTCGCTATCTTTAAAATATAAATACTTGAGAATACTTCGTTCTCTCTCTCTTTCTTGCATTTTCAGCGGACATTACAACCATGTAAGGCTCCCGCACAGAAGATTGCGTTTTCCCCTCCGTGAGAAGCGCTATGCTTTTCCTTGGAAAGATCCTATGAACATTATGCACACACACATACACACACACGCACGCACGCGCACACACACAACACGTACGTATAAACATATTCTTCACGTTCATGCACAGTCACATTAATGTTTTTGTCTTCTGTACACGCTTTTAGTTGTTTAATACATATACCTGTTTATTCATGTATATCGGTTTCTTGTTGTTTTTCTGTTACATTTTTTTTTGCGTTGGACTCATCTCTAGTCCACCATATTTTTGTAGTGGACTTTATTTCAGGAGTTCCACACGTGTTCATATCACAACGCGTAAAAAAAAAACACGGTCCGCTACAACTTCAAGCGTTATTATAGTGGATACTTAGTATTTTAAACAGACGCCTTATTTTTTTTATTTATTAAACAGTTTGTATTACGTCTATCCTCTGCACATCCGAGAAATCTTAGTAAACAAGGGATTTTCTATCGAAGAACACACATTCAGATTTCGAATGAAAATCTCGAAGAATTCATCGAATCACCACCAGAATCGCTATTTTAACGTCAACCTCATATATATATATATATATATATATATATATATATATATATATATATATATATATAAAATAAAAAAGCTCAAATACTAATATTCCATGGTCATACTTTATTCCATCGGAATCGTAAATACGATCCAATTCATCAGACCTACAAATTCAAAATACGATCCTATTCATCAGACCTACAAATTCAAAAAGCTTTTTGAATTTGTAGGTCTGATGAATTGGATCGTATTTACGATTCCAATGGAATAAATTATGACCATGGAATATTAGTGTTTAAGCCTTTTTATTATATCCTTACTCTGAACTGGACATTGAGTTCTACCTGGATTCTATCCTCTTGGAATTATTTTTTATACAAATATATATGTATGAGTATGTATGTATGCATGTATATATATTTATATATTTCAGATATATGATTGCATACGTATGTGTATATTTACCACTAATATTATCTATATATATATATGTGTGTGTGTGTGTGTGTATTTAGGCAGCAATCTTTCTTTCATGCACATTTCATTGAATACAACAAGCTGCTTTTATTTAGTTTTTTATATAAATTCTCATGCGATCTAATAATTTTTTTCTTTTCGGATGATAAATTATATAAAAACTGTCCGAATGTTGTTTTTATCCGAGCGCTTTCGGGTATACATTTAGCCATTTTCATAAATTAAATATTTTAACTATTAATAAGAAATAGTTTGTTGTATGTATGTTTTATATATATATATGTGTGTGTGTGTGTGTATGAGTGTGTGCGTCAGCGCGCGTGTATGTGTACAAAGCTGCATTTATGAAACCGATTCATGCCTTATCATTCAGCGCCATCTCCGCCTCTTCAAACGCTTCACTGAACGTTGCCTCCGTACCATTCATGTGCCCTACAATGACTTCATTACTCAATTCATCAAAAGAGGCAGTCCTACAGGCAGTGAAGCGATTCTGTGAAAGGTGCACCCTCTCTGAGCAACACCATGCGCCAGGGATGGAAGATTATCGCCTGAAAAATTCTCCTCTTGTCAGTGAATTGGTTTCTGACCAGATGAACAGAAGGGTGCAACGGAAAATATACAAAGGCTCCTTAAAAAAGAATCCTTATCGTGGAATCGACTATCACCAGGAGGTAACGGGTTCTGTCGACAATGAGATGTTCAAGACAACCTCCATGCTTGAAATAACTCACACAGTGAGAAGAAAAATGTAATTCCCCCAACAGATACCAAACTTTCTCCTGCAACCATTTTGTAAAAGAAACTTGTTTGTTGCGAGTACCATCGCTTTTATATAAAAAGTGCTTTCTCTCTCTCTCTCTCTCTCTCTATATATATATATATATATATATATATGTGTGTGTGTGTGTTTCTGTGCGTATACACATATATATATATATATATATATATATATATATATATATATATATATATATATATATATTTCAAACATTATTATTAGTGGATACTCGTATTTGAAATAGATGTACGTATTTTTGTTTTAAACAGTGTATTACGACTATCGACGCATTAATAAGAGATAAAAATGCCGGATTAAAAATAAATACATTAATTCCTTTGAAAAAGAATATGTGTGTGTGAATCTCTCTCTCTCTCTCTCTCTCTCTCTCTCTCTCTCTATCTATCTATCTATCTATCTATATAGATAGATAGAGAGAGAGAGAGAGAGAGAGAAAGAAATAGATATAGTAGTGGGTAGCGGCTCGGACTGAGGAATCGGAGAGCCAGTTCGAATTCCAGTCGAACCCATTACATTCACTTACGTGCTAATCCCTCCAGCTATGGCTAAATAGCAGGACATATTCTCTGTGTGTGTGTGTGTGTGTGTGTGTGTGTGTGTGTGCAGAGAAAGAGAGAGATTGTCTGATGATGGCTCCAAGATTGTTAATTTTTATTGATATTGAGTACTCTTACCCTACAAATTTTAAACATTCTAATTGCACACACACATACATACACGTGATCCAAGACAAGATTTTAACTATTTTTCATCTTGAGAAAAGGGTCGCTCAATATCTCTTATACGGAAATATCTTTTGTTGTAACAACATCACACTCATTTCCCCCCCTCTCTCTCCCTCTCTCTCTCTCTCTCTCTCTCTCTCTCTCTCTCTATATATATATATATATATATATATATATATATATATATATATATATATATAATGACGATTGCGTTTAAGGATAAAACAGACTGAAAAAAATGCCTCTGGGTGTTGACTTCAATGTCCACTTTTATATTTACTGTACCTTATACACAATGGCCTATATATGCTGCACGATCAAAGTGTATTAACGCATGGTCTGAAGATTGCTTGAGGCGTGAAATTGACAATCAGCAGGTAGTGTCGATTTCGAATATACAAAATAACTTACAAAACGTACATACGCGTGCTAAATATCTAATTGACAAATCAGTCACATCATCTTCAGAAGAGTCTCTCTCACTCTCTCTCTCTCTCTCTCTCTCTCTCTCTCTCTCTCTCTACATATATATATATATATATATATATATATATATATATATATATATATATATATATATATAGAGAGAGAGAGAGATAGGAGATAAGGCATGGTGGAGTAGTGGATAATGGCTCAGATTGAGGAATCGAGTTCGATTTCCAGTCGAGTCCATTACATTCACTTACGTGCTAATCCCTCCAGCTATGGGTAAATAGCAGAACAGATTGGGCTTTATAGCCTTGGATGGCAACTGGTCTAGGAAAAGGACAACTCTGAATTCACAACTTGCGGAGGGTTATTAGGGAACGTAGTGCACCAGGTCTGTGTATTCGGCCCTTCAAAAAGTGTAGTTGGTTCTGCAGAAAGCCTTCACCACTATAAACTAAATCATATGTCTGGCTATCGGTTCCTAGGAAGTGAGCTGCATGAAACTCATACGTCAAATACGACGACAGAGTCCACCATGTATATATATATATAGAGAGAGAGAGGGGGGGGCTATTGGCACGATATTACCTAATCAACTATATAGTGCGTCTACTTCAAATACGATTATCCACTAATAATAATGTTTGAAGTAATATATATATATAAATATATATATATATATATATATATATATATATTATTATTTGAATTATTAGTTAGAATTTGAAATAGATATATATATATATATATATATATATATATATATATATATATATATAAAAGTGAACATATGAAGTCAACACTTAGAGGCGACAGGCTGTTTCATGCTAGACATATTGTCGTGGCCTGATGATTGCGTCAAATGAAATAGCCTGTCGCCTCTAAGTGTTGACTTCATATGTTCACTTTTATTTTATATTTACACACGCTCAATCTCTGATATTGAGCACTTTATCCCATAAATATAACACACCTTTAGAGTATATTTTTTCGTATATATATATATATATATATATATATTTAGGCGTCTATTTTAAATTCACTAATAATGATGTTTGAATTAATATATATATATATATATATATATATATATATATATATATATATATATATATATATATATTACTTCAAACACTATTATTAGTGGATAATCGTATTTGAAATATACGCCCTATATACAGTTGATTAGGTAATATCGACAAACTGATGGTGTTGATAATGGTTAAGCTATCGCCCCAACATCTTCCATGTTGTCTATATATTTACATTAGGTAAAACTACGGAGTCTAATATCTGAGAAAATATTTGAAAAACAATCAGTTCTTAACTTTACACATAAGCTTAGCATTAATAAGAGAATACCACTTTTTGATGTACTAATCGATTCGAATAATCGTATACCTCCGTTTTAAAACACAATAATTCACACCCATACCTACTTATCTACAATAGCGAATGCCCATACTGATACATAATTACCATCATGTGAGTAGAACACATTTAATATTCCCTACACGCGCAACATTCTATAACGAATTCAAAAATATGAGCACACATTATTTTCCTTAATTATAAAGTAAACAAATTAACCTAAACTTAAAAAAGGATAAAACCTAACAATAATACAAATAATAAGAACATTAAAATCACCACGTAACTATTCTATTTTATAGAGACACAATCGCAACAAACAAAACATGAAAAAATATAAGAAACATAATATATCTATACATATCATCTTACTTATTATAAAACGCAGATTGTGTGTGTGTGTTTGTCTGTAACGTTTATATATTGGATCGGATTTCCTACATTTTTCAACCGATTTCAACAAAACTTCACAGGACTACATAAAATTACCTTGTGGTGGTTCTAACAGCGCCAAAAATGGGAAAAATATAATTGTTTTTGCACAAAATCAATTTGAAAACACGATTAAGAGACATCGTGAAAATGGAAGGGGACAACTCATCGGGTTGTTTGTGTGTGTTTGGGTTCCTTTAAATATGGGAGCGGATTTCCTATATTTTTCAGCCGATAAAACAAAACTTCACTTTTCTTTTTTTTTTTTTTTTTTTTTTTTTTTTTTTTTTTTTGGCAGGTAGTGTTTCTTATTCTCTTGCACACTTTTTTTTTTATTTTTTAACATTCAGAATGCTTTAAAAATTCCGTTTACAAGACAATTATTTATAATAAAATTCTATTCAATTGGGAGACTCATAACGATTGAAAACAATGTTTTTGTTTGAGTTTGGGTTTGACCAATTCGTAAAAAAGTAAAAAATAAAAAAAACAATTAAGACATGCGTGTCCGTCAACCTTAAACAATAATCTAACGATCTCTACTGATTGTACGAATACAAACATCGGATAAATTCTTTATCTTTAGGGAAAGATAATGAAATCTAAACAAGTCCTAACTAAAAATAATAACCGGAACGGGAAACTACTTTAAATACACATGGTGTCCAATTTTTTTTTACTGTATTCAATAAGTAAAAATCATAAATTATAAAAGATTATTATTTCAGAAAGGCTACTAAATGAATAAGATTTGTTAGATCATAATTAATAAACCCAAATAAAGTTAATATTTTTGTATTAGAAACAACGAGTGGAAAATATATTCAAATCAGAATTCTAATTATGAATCACCACAAGCAAAATATGCAATTTTTTACTGTATTCAATAAGTAAAAAATCATAAATTGTAAAACTAAAAGATTACAGAAAGGCTACCTACATTTTTCAACCGATTTCAACAAAACTTCACTTTTTTTTTGGCATGTAGTGTTTCTTATTGTCTTGCACACTTTTTTCTTTATTTTTACATTCAGAATGCTTTTAAAATTCCATTTACAAGACAATTGTTTATAAAATTATTCTATTCAATCGGGAGACTCATAACGATTGAAAACAATGTTTTTGTTTGAGTTTGGGTTTGACCAATTCCTAAAAAAAAAACTAATTAAGACATGCGTGTCCGTCAGCCTTAAACAATAATCTTTGTCAATTTTATTTTTCAGTCTTTATGATGGTGGATACTTGATCTATCTCTTACTGTTATATCCCCGGGCAACGCCGGGCTCTACTGCTAGTTATCACTAATCGACAAAAACAAATAAAACTGATCACAAATTCAAAAATTCGCTTGTTCATTTCGAGAATATCTTTCTGATAATAACTATTCAAACACTACACTATCGCGCCGGTTAACTTGTCATTGATTTAATAATAACAGTGTTAAATTGCATATCACCAACCAATATGACAAGATCTTCGAAAAGCACTTATCAATAACACGAAACTATACCACATAATCTGTAAAAATGACTTCAAATTTTCGAAGCCTTAACTATAAAATCAAACAACGCAACATCAACAGAATTCCATTCAATTTAGAAACAAACCTACTAAATATATTTCGCAACTAATTAGAAAAACAGACGCGTGAAGATAAAATGTTTAAAAAACTCCCAAAGGAATACAGTGCATGCATATAGGTACAATTGTAAGACACATTCAAAAACTCTTTCAAAATCGAAAGCACTCAGAAGACATTGGATAATTTATGTTCAACTTCACCCGTAAAAAAGAAAGACAATCTTCGACCAATATTTCATTCATATATATATATATATATATATATATATATATATATATAAATTAAGTAACGAAAGTCTTGGTAATCCGTATGGATAATCCAAAGGAGGATGAAATCTTGAGAGCTCAATGTTAAGCCAGAGCGAATAATTTAATTTAAAAAAAAAACAGACCACTTTAAGGCTCCATTGTAATAATTTATTTCACCAGAGAATTTTATTTTTTCTCTGGATCCTCAGACTTTACTTTCAAAGACGAAACGAAAAAATGAATTTAAAATTTACACTTTTGACAGGCAGTATTAAGCTTATATAAGTTGAATTAGAGGGTGATGAGTAATGGTGTGAGAGATATGGTCGAGCTTAGAGAGGGAAGGGAGAGTTTAAAATTTATCTTTATATTTCTTTTTATTACAATACTTAATATTGAGGAAGGACTATGTAGTATCCGTCGGAAATAGTTTTTAATTGGGCAATATACCACCATATAGCGCTACCTTATTTGAGGATCATCTCGCTCTTGGGTCATAGTCTCATTCTCAAATCTCTTCTGTTCAAAATCCGTGTAGTATTTGTGATCTCTATAAAATGGTCTACACAAAACTATTAAGTTGAATAAGAGATGCAGTAGTTAACACATCGAGAGAGA